GCTCGGGGGCGCCTCAACTGGTTAGCCCGTCGCGTTTCATGAGTGTGCTCAGCACGTGTGAACATCGCGGCTATATCTGGTGGCTGACCCGTGAGTAAGACTTTTTTGAGCAGGCACAACATAGGATATCTGACGAGCTGATCAGCACTAAGCCATCGTAGATCCCTGACAACATCCGATATATGGTCACACCTTCTCTTTCCGCTCACAACCCGCGCACAGAAGTTCACGAGTTTTTGCACGCGATGGAGCTGGGTGGCTCCGTGAGTACCATACAGTGCTATACAGTATCTAATGGAGGAAAGAACTAGAGCTCCGACAATGCGAACGAGGGTGTCTCTTGGGAGTACATGCTTGGCATGGGACAGGGTCATCAGAGCGCCCGTCGACCTGGCAACAAGCTGATCAATGTGCGGTTCAAATGTGAGATTTTTGTCCATCACCACACCAAGGTTTTTGACAGTACTGCTTTTAGTAATGACAGCTGACCCGAACTCGACATGCGCAGGAGGCATATTACGCAGCATAGCCTTTATCCCGAAAACTATTAACTGTGTTTTTGTTGTATTGACTTTCATAGAGTGGTTGTTAAACCAGTCCAATACAATTGACAAGGTACTCTCCATGGTTCCGACAAGATGTTGCATTGCACTTTTCTTTCCAGTAACCAAAATATGTGTGTCATCGGCATATTGCATCACTGTAGCACCTTCTGAATATAACGCTAGATCGTTTGAGACAATTGAATATAGGAGCGGCCCGAGGGCGGTACTCTGAAATACCCCCACCTCATTCGGAAGACTGCGAGAGCGTGCAGTATGCCCTGAAGGATATCTGATCTGAACCTTTTGGGTATGCCCGCAAAGGTAGCTTTCAAACCATTTCGTGTCAATATTGTATATCTTAAGCTTGGATAAGAGAAGCTGGCGATCCACAACGTCAAAACATTTTGACAGATCTATCAAAACAAGCAGAGCGATCTCCCCAGCATCCATCGCGGTGAGTATTTTATCAGTCACTACAGTAAGTGCGGTCTCTGTTGAAAAATTCATACGATATCCGTGTTGTGTATGCGAAAATAAATCACGCTCGTCAAAATATGAGCTAAGCTGATGATGAACAATACGCTCGACTATCTTTGCTATCGCTGGCACTACAGAGATTGGCCCAAATTTGGTAGGATCGTTCAAATCACTGGTTTTCGGGAGCGCTGTGACAAGAGCGTGTTTCCGGGCGCTGGGCACCGTTCCGTCAATGAGACTGCTATTGATGACGTCAAGTAGGGGACAGCCGACACCACGAAAAGACTTCTGTAAGAGCTGAGTACTAAGCTCATCTAGCCCACAGGATGTCGTTGGGTTCATCGTAGACATAGCTGCAAGCAGCACCGCACCGCACCGCACCAGCAGGCTAATAATAATTGAGTGATAGGCTGTCGGGGAGGGGTGGGGGGAAGGCGAGCAAATGAGACCGAAATACCAGTGTTTTAAAATGTACACAGTCACAGCCTTCGAATTTAGTTATTTGCGCTATTTCCATGCCACCGCATCATGGCCATTATTCTACATTTAGGCCGGCCGGTGCTAGTGCGGCGCTGTCAAGGGTGATTTGAACAAAAAATGTGATGTCGTCGATGCGAGATGCCGACAGTACTTCCACGAGAAGTAAAGGCAGCCTTTATAATTGATCAATGCGCTGAAAAGTTTCAAAAATTTTCAACGTTTCTTTGAGGTTTTAGTACATGCTAAACACTCTGGCAAGGAAGAGATTGTTTTCACGTATGTCGTTGAGTACATTTGTAAGTAACGTTAGTCACTGGATAAGACAGTGCTAAAAACCTTATTCCTCGTAGAATAACCAGGAGAATGTGGAGATAGATGCATTGGTATTTCGGATGCATGCCTTTATCAAAACGAATATCAGTGGTAAAATGAAGATCACCCGTCACTCCTACTCGACTTTTCAGATATTGTTAACAGCAAACCACAGTTTTTACGGGTCTCAGATATTCAGGGCATCAAACAAGGAGCAATTTCCAGCCAGTACTACGACACAGCGCAAATCCAAGTTGCTATCAGAATATGCAAAATCTAGGTGCACATGCAAACGAATTCAAGCAAACGGACATCAAGAATCACGCATATTTATACATGCTACATATTTTGACTAAACAGGCATCACGCAGCACGCATCGCTTAAACATGCGAAAGACTTCAATTAAACAGGCATGGCGCATCAAGCGCCAGGCATGACACATGCAAGTAAACGATTTTAAGTAGCACGCATCACACATCAAGGCATTGATCATATTCGCATAATCGGCCATGATAAGCCATGAACGCTAAGGTCAGGTCGCTGATCTCTTACAAGAAAATTACTTCCCTTATTTTTCTGTCTGTATGGTCCTGTGCTCTGTAGATGACGTTGTGCGCTTAAAGGGGTATGGGGCTCCTGCCTCCGTAGATTTCATTGTGAGCGTAATTTGTAAAGAAAAGGGTCGCCGAAAGGGGCATTCTTTGTTTTGTTTTTAACGTCTCGCAGGTGTTTATTATACCTCAGACGAATGGGGCGCATGGACAAGCACAGCCTCGAGCACGAAAGCGAGCGTCAAGGAAAGAAAGAGAAGGTCTGCGATCTTGACAAACGCTCCCGTTCGAAACAAGCTTAATGACTATCAGAAGAGGTCGGCCAAAGGAAACGTAAAAGGAAGAAAAGGGAATAGAAAAGACTGGGAAGACCGCGGCTCACGCGCAAAAGAGAAGTGAAATGGATGTCTTTTGCTTTGTATGCGGAATGAAGTACTCACATTCATGTGAACAGCGGATGGAATGCCAAGGGTGCAGGAAATGGGCATGTGTACCATGCACCGATGTAGAAGCCGGATAGATGGGGTATTGGTGTAATTTGTGTCGTTATGAGAGGTAGCAGGTAGACGAGGGGTGATGCGAATCCAGCTATCGATACATCGCTTCCTTTCGCCGCTTAGGTTGTATGGGGCAGTTGTTATCTTTCCCGGTCTTGAACTGTGATGGCCAGAACAACATGACGTCGCTGTATCGAGCCTCAGCACGCTTCGGCTGGGCGCGACCGGCTACAAACCGCCTGTGCGATGGAGCGCTCCCAGTACAGCATCACGGGCCCACGCTGCGCGTGCATCTGGAACACGACACAGCACAGTCCATTGAGGACGTGCACTACGTCCATAAATGCATTTTTGCCTATTTTGTGACATGCATTTTCTGTGTTTTACGTTTTCTTTCGACTCTTGGACGCAGCGTACCAACACGCCCCGTACAGTGTATCGACGTGCTCCGCTTATCCTTGACACAACCGACTTTGTTTTGCAGTTTACC